ACCTTTTGAGAAACGAAGAGGTAAAGAGGTTCGTAGGTTCTTTAATAAGGCCATGCGGACTGGGAAGATCTTAAGATCTATACGGACCACATTCGGAGGTATAAACGAGGATCATGGAGGACCTTCTGTGGTAACATGAAGAGTCGAAGTTCAAATACTTCATAAGATACTTTTGAAAGACCCGGGGCAAAAAGTGACGACACTGAGGCTTGATCTGGGTTCCAGCGCCCTGCAGAATAGGAGGCAACAAAAGGGCAGACAAGGCAGTGGTGGGGCCTTCATCGGGCCCGAGCCTACCCTAGGAATTACTTCCTCCGTTGTCAGGGCCAAGATTAACGACCGGGTGACCAGTCAATTCCAGGTTCAGTGGCAACAAGCATCCACACTCAGGTAGTCGAGGGCCTTCTCAGGCAGTCTAGGGCCTTTGTAACAGGGCCCCGTGGCAAATATGGATCTTCTAAGCTTATAAAACTGAATATAAGCCAGATTTGGAATATCACCTGTGGCCTTACGGGGCACTGGATGCTCTCATATCGCCCACGTACAGGTTCAGTGGCGAGGCAGATGAAACTACCGAGCATGTGGTCCGTCACTGTGATGCCTTGATCAGGCACAGACATCAGTTCCTTGGCCACAGTTATCTGGAGCCGGGGAGGGTGAAGCGACTTAGACAAAAACAGGTTCCAGGAACGGGCCCTGAATCTAGTAGCGAAAAAAAGAGAGTAGGCACAACGGGCCTTTGGTGTGCCTAAGCCCATTATCAGGTTTGGCTCTTGACGATTATGAATTTCAGTTTTGGTTTCGAGTTGCGCCATGTCAAAGTTAAAAAACTAAAATTATTTTCCGCAAAATGGTTATTGGGTTATTTTGAATTTGCTAAAATATTGTGTCGAAATGTCAAAAACGTTATTTTTATTATCTGAGTTTTTAACGCCGTGATTGTCATAAAACTTTTTTTCAAATAGTAAACCACATTTTTTTTATTCAGTTATTGTAAAGAGGTTATTTTTACTACAAACTTTTAAAACCTTTTTGGTTTGAGCTAGAAAGCTGATCTGACAAGAATTTGATACCTAGATTTCCATGTTGTATACCTACTTATTAGCGATATAAAAGTGATTGCTGAATTCGATCATTACTCATTATTAATGTGCACACAAATAAATTTCTAGACAGTGATCAGTACTGATGTTTATAAACTTTCAAAATTGAATGCAAAAAAACCGCATCTCCAGATATCTTTAAAATTAAAGGAGTAAAATTGGAATTGATGACGATCCATACTTTGTGGCGAAGATTGTAGATTGAAGAGTACTTAAAGGAGTACCTAGTTTGACTTGGAGCGTATACATACAGAGATCTCTTAATAGAGAAAAAGGAAGAAAAAGAATATGGTCATTCTGGTTTCTTAACGGCGACGCGATAAACTTCAACATTAAAGAATGAATTCATCGAAATGACAAAATTAAAGAACCAAATTGGATAATTACTGATGTGAAGAATGAGATGAGGAAGATGATGAATTAGACGAACGGCATTTACATCTAACATTATTCCAAAGGTTCACTATTTTTATTTAAAAGTACTTTAAATAACCTTTGGAAATCCATGGATATCCACCGGACATCTTTGGACATCCTTGGATATCAGCGGTTCTCCATGGACATCCTCGGATAGCCATGGACATCCTCGGATATCCATGGATATCCTCGGATCTCCATGGACATCTTCGTATCTCCATGGACATCCTTGGATCTCCATGGATATACTCAGACATCTGATATGTTTTTGGAAATCCGCCGACGTCTTCGAATTTGCTCAAGACCTTTAATTACACACTTAGGTGCATTGGAAAGCAGGGATAGTCCATTACAGTTTTTTAGCGCAGTTTTGCAAATTTATTTGTAAAAAGGTAGCTGCTGCCTGGCTGGCTGGCAGCAAATGCGGGCCCATAGAAGAACGCTTGTAGAAAGACGAGGAGTGTACATGCACCTACCGCGGCCGTGTAATTAACAACTTTAGGGACGGGGCTACATGTGGAGGGTCGCCAACATGTGGGTGCCATCCCCTACCTTGCTATACTAACCTGGAGATTTTTGAGTTTTTTCCTATCTTCTTTCATAGTTTTGATCCAATTGCTTTCAAATTGGAGTCGTCAGATAGATCTTAAAAACGCGTACGAACTCCTGCGTTTTGTGTTTTTTTTCCTAGGGGCGCGTCTTCGAAGGGTAGTCGACTTAGTGCGCAAAAATTTTCTTAGAGGTCTAATCGCGGTCTCCCTATTTTGTGGAGGGTTTTAGCGAAATGAACGGGACGTCGGTAGTGGGTACCGACAAGGGGAATGTGGTAGCCCCCGACAAGATCTTACTGATGCTGGAGTCAAAACTTCAAACACGATGTATATCCTGACTTTACTATCGAAAATGATGGCACAGTTTGAACATCTACGTTAATTATAATTACTATTTTTTTTTATAATTTAATTCGCAGGTATTTGACAATTATTATGTGTTGCTATGTGTTCATTTGTTTCAAAACCAACTTGGATGAATATCATAATATTGTAAATTAAAATTTGTGAGTGTTTGTATTTTCGCCATATCTCTGTTTAGGATGCGGTTTTCACTGATATTTTCACTTTTTCATCTTACTTGATAATATCTATAATAATTACATCGTTCCATTTGAAATTTTCAAAAAAACCTGCAAAATTTATGTTAGTGTCACATCGCGCCCTCTGCCACTCATCACATTTACTAAAAAGACTCTATTAATGTAAAATCTGATTCCACGAAGACAAATCTTTCCAACAAGACATATTATGTGAATATCGGTTAACCTATACCGAAGTTACATTCGATTCCTTAAATAGATGTTCTCCTTCCCATACCCCTCATATTTTATGAGCTGGAGAATGATGCAAAATTGATACAAGATTGCTATGCATGTATTTTTTATGCATGTTTGTTAGGTATATTTTAGAAAAAAAGTCATTTTTCTACTTAACCATGAATCGTACGCCCTCTAGCGGCGAAGCTAGAAACTTAAAATAATTTCCAGCGACTTCTCTTAGCCCCTTTTAATTTTTTTCCCGAAGCTTTGCAATTAACGGTTCCATAGATATGGCCTGTGACCATTATTAATGGGACACCCTGTACATAAGTTCATACATGTCACTTATACCTTTGCTTATACTTGAATATTGACGAGGATATCCTCCAAAGTCTGAAGATATCCTCGAAAATTCTCGAATATCTGCGGATATCCACCGGATCTCCTCGGACATCCGCGGACCTCCTCGGACATCCTGCGGACATCACCACTGTGTACACTGGATATCCACTGCGATTTCTCCCTCATCTCGGACTAAAGGCGATGACACTTTATTTCAGATAGATGTTTGGTGATCAAAATAGAGAGATTTTGGAATTAAATGACTTTTCTACCAAAATTACGGAAAATATCGAAAACGACCTGTACCTACGTAAAAATTGAGTTACATGAAGACGCATGTGTCATCGTTAGAAAGTCATCATGTTGTTGGCTGTTGGATGCTTCCAAAAATGTTGTGTTGCTTTTCACATTTTTTGCTATGGTGCTTACTCTTCGAAAAAAATGCAAATCAAAAAAAATAAAATAAATAGTTTAACTTTTCAATTCAAAATGTTTCAAAAACTAAGAAGCCCACAAATAAAAATTCCTCAAAGTCCTCGTCTGAGATTGAAGGGACGTCAGCGCATTTTTGTGTACCAGTTCAGTATTCTATTAGCCAGTTGTGACTCCACCACCAATACGAGCTTGTCGAAGGCTACCACATTCCCTTCGTCGGCACCCGCTTTCGACGTCCGGTGCACCCGCAATTCGCGTTTGACCCCACCATCACTAAGGTCTCTAAGGACCAAAACTATAGAGAAAGTTAGTAAAAAACTAAAAATTCTCCAGGGGATGGCGCCCTAGTAACCCCGTCTCTAAAGTTGTTAATTACACGACCCTGGTAGGTATAATGTACACTCTTCGTCTTTCTACAAGCGTACTTTTACGGGTCCGCATTTGTTGCCAGCCAGGCGACCAAAGGAAGGTGAAAAGCTACATTTTTATAAATAAATTCGCAAAAATGCCCTAAAAATTATGTGATGGACTTTTTTGTAGAGCTTTATAGAGAACCGGAAACTCTAGTGTATTTTAGTACGATTGCAACAGATTTCGGATGGTAAGGTTTCGGTGGATTTCCAAAGACATATCCAGATGTCCAAGGATGTCCATGGAGATCCGAGGATGTCCATCGCGATCCGAGGATGTCCGGTGAATATCCCATGGATTTACACACCAAATGGATGTATGGTCCATTTGCGATTTCCCCCTCGTCCTATACTGTTGGGGAATCTCAGTCGGAGATACGTTACGTAGTTTTAGCCTCTTCTTTGAGGTTAAAACGTGACATTGTGTACGTAATGCATTAGAACTTGAAGTGTTACTATAAGATCCTCTATAGAAAATGGGAATAGCCTACCTTTTAAAGGACCGTTCAATCATTGTTTTTCAACACACTGTAAGCTGTAGACAACAAAATCAATTTTGATCTGATGGTGCATATGTGAATGATGCGGTTCCTAAACGTTAGCTTGTCCCACTTTCGTTTAAATATAGACCTATCGTTCTTTTTTCGTTTATTTTACCAATAAGACATTAATAACTCACGCAATTGCCTTTACTTTTTTCCGTAAGCTGAAAAGGATAATCAGAATCTCTCAAAACGCAAGGGATTTCGAAACAATTTCGGTTTATAAATTGAGCTTTTTGTCGGAGCTTTCAAACTTGTTCGTCTCAATAGGCGCACGCAATGTTTCCATTTAGTCGAAAGATGAGTAAGTTTTATTACCTCCCCATTATCCAAATTTGCTCGTGTAGAAAAGTACTAAAGCCGAAAAGCTCGCGCAATTGATGGTAGACGTGCACAGCACACGCGAAGATAAATTCGACAAGCCAATCAATTCCCTTACCTTTCTTAGGTTTATCGCTAACAATATCGCTAACACGATCGCTGACTAAATCCTGCGTAAGGGTGTCCTGTTCGTCCTGGTCCGGGGGTTCGGGCTCGGGGGCGTTTATTGATAATTTATGGCACACTTCGAATGCTTGTCCTACGGTCCTAACCACCCTCATCGCCTGACTCTGAAAGTAAAAAAGAAATGATATGCAAACGTGATAATCGCAAACCTTTCTTTGATGGTCTACCTCTAAATCGAAATCGTCCCAGCTATTAGCGGAACGAAGTAAGCCGTTACTTGCGCTAATGCTACGTTTTAAATCGTGTACGCCATTGGGCTTTTTGAAGCTTGTTTTACGAGTCTGGGTAGCGTAACCGGATATTTCGGGCTCGCGGAAGGATAACTTCTTACGCGGACGTTCGAGTGCCAAAGCGGCGGTTTCCCGTAATTCATCACATTTGTCAGACGGAAGCGACGACGGTCTCATAGAGCTTAAATTATCCAGCACATCTGCCGCGGAAATTTCGACTCTGATGGGATACGAACCGACCGAGTTCTGCTTGTACAGACACGAGCCCCGCTTGGGACTCTCCTGCACCCTTGCGTTTGCCAGAATGTGATTACGCTCATTTTTACCCGGACAGGGTTTAAAGAAGTAATCCAGAGTTGCTTGCGTCCGAGACTTGCGATGGGATTGGTCCGACTCGCCGTTTAACATCTTGTTCGTTCTTAACGCGTCGCTGATGTTGAAAAATTTACTTTTCGCTCTCGACAGCATGTCCTGGTGCTTCTTTTTGACCACCTCCGGATCGGGCATCTCCAGACTGGGGTGGCGCGTTTTCGCCGCGTTGCGCATTTGCACTCTGTTCGTCATCCTTATCGACGCACCCCAATTTTCAAATAGTCAAAAGGACGTAGGCGACGACGGTCGTGTAAACATTCGCACGGCAAATCTGTCATTTCGTTGGAGCGCTTACGAAAAAAAAACGCACGTGGAATCTAATTACATCTTAAACGCACGTTTATTTTGAGCGTAACTTATTTAAAAATGAAATCGAAGATCATAAATACGTCGAGCACTCACATTCTAAAAATCAACTTAATTAACCCCCTTTTCCCGATCACTCAACGCGCGTACATTTTTAAAATTTACGTTTATAAATAACGACTACCATAACTCAAAAAGCTTGACTTTCAGGTGGCCGAATAAGTAGTAGACTGATTAGTTAACCGGCAGTATTTGGCGTCGCGACGGTCGACCTCGCAATACCTACACCTAGTACGCTAAACTTGTATGCCCGCCGAACGTTTTGCACAACTTTCAGATGTTTTGTAAAAAAAGAACGTGCCGAATTAATAGATAGGAAGTCGCTCGCTCTACCTAAACTTCGAGAAATTTTGCCAACTTTGCGGGCATAAATAAAGCGCGACCGACGATTTCTATTTCGTATGGGGTGGCGTCACAATGGAACCGTCACCGAAATTGACCTCGAGCAAACATTTTCAATTCGCGCTAGAGATATTTTGACATCATTTTATTTCATCACTATAATACAGCGGACGTTTATCAGTTTAACCGACGAAATTGATTAATTATCGATCAAATGAGCTTTCGTTCCTCGCACGGACGTCCGGTGTGACAGATAGTCAAAACGGCAGTAATAGAGAGAGCACTTGTATGTGTGCTAAAAGCGCATCTTAGTTGACTAACAAACTCAAATGGCTAATTTTTGAATTTTTATTCCGTCAGTCAACTGAACTAAAGTGGTGCAAAGTGCAACCAACCCATAGTCCAAGTGCGCAGCGTCACAAATTACCTTTCTAAACCTCTTGTGGAACTTTATTGTGTTTAGCACTTTCCCTGTGTAAAATCTTGCGAAAACGTGGCAATTTTTCTTGCATTTTTCCGAATAACTACCGTTTCGATGATGTATACAAAATTAATGGAAACCGTTTTTCTACAGACTGTAAACGTGTTTTTTACACACGAGAAACAAAATTGCCCACCAACAATTTTGGAACCTCAGACGTGTAAAAAAACATTAAAAAAGAGAACGCGATCAAAATCAATCATAGATATCATAGTCGCTATCATGTTCCTTGGAGAGGAAATATTCAATTAATTACCACTTATTTTAATGCCGGCAATTTATTCCGATTGACCCAATGCCCTAGTTCCTTATCTATGTCCACAGTATCGAGATTAACCTCCAAACAAAATTACCGTTAAGTGGTCACATGTGCCTTGATAAGAAATAGGTGTAAGTGTAAATTAAGGATTCTCACAACGCACATGCGGAATCTAAAAGAAGAAGGCTATTAGTCCTGGGAATAGAGGGTTTGGACTTAAAATGAGAAGTAGTCATCTGGTGATTAAGAATCGAAGTTTTCAACCTCCCACCTCTTGTGGTTCCCCTGTAGCAACCCCAAAACCCATGAAATTTGGTTGGTCTCTTAGTTTTTCAATCATTCAACCATAAAATTATATACAACTTTAATATATATTATTTTTTTATAAAACGTTTATTAAAAATGATATAGAGAGCTTCAAAGTTGCTTATATAATAATATATACTTTATCTGTATAATTAAGAGTTTTACGAGAAAATATCTTGAACTTATCGTGGTCTGAATCCCCCTACCCTGCTCCCTTACTAATGGTGATGCATAATAATTCAACTGTCAGCCCTTGCTAATAAGGATATTTGCACCACTGTGAGCTTGTAGCGCTTTCTTATATAGGTTTGAAATAAAAAATTGTCTCACTTCAGTTCAGCTCAGCTTCACCCCCCATGAATATTTTTATATTTTCTAATGGTCTCATTCCAATTTATCCACCCCCTACTGAAATGAGTATCTTCTGTTGTTCTGTAAGCGCTACTTTTTTTAAAAAAGGCGCTAAATACATTTACTATTCATGTTCATATAAGATTATGATTTGTAAATTATGTTCGAAAGCGATATAATCTTAGATAGTTGAACAATCACTACTATAAGGGGGTTGAAACTTTTTTCTAAAGTGAACCCATTTCATGGGTTTTGGAGGTGGAACGGGGAAAGTACAAGCGGTGAGAGGTCGAAAACTTGGATTGTTAACCATCAGATATTCCTCACTGACATGCAAAAAAAAATTGGAACTACTTCTCGTTTTGCAGGAAATGGCCTATTTTCAGTCTCTATTTCCCGGACTATATTCACAAAACATTAAAATTACAGTAACGCTTGACAGATGACCTGTTCAACTTCAACATTAGAAACGTAATTAGCAAAACTCGTATAGCCTTTCAAAACTGGGAGAAAAATGCAGAAACCCGTCCAAATTTTATCGGGGACCCACAAAATATAGGTTCAATCGCCAGAATAATTATAATTGGAAATTGCAATTAAAACCCTACATTCTGTTTAACGTGCTGAACTAAGGCGTGCTTGTGCTAGAATGTCGTAAGAGGAACTTGAAAAGCAAAGAATGCGTCTTGCGTGGAAAGATTTGCCGACAGACGACGCCATAACTTAATGACAGTTAGACCTCTAATACCCATTTATATTTTCTTTCACTTCTTCCACTTCCATGTCCCCGTTCCCTACACGGACACCCCTCGCATCGAACAAACAAACACTTTCTTGTTCTAAAATTATTCTTAAACCCCCTCTCCACACCTGTCTCATCTCCACCATTCCCTTTTTCTTAATAAATTCTCTTATATACGCATTTGTCCCATTGTTTGGTATCCTAAATATTTAATTTCTTTTACCTCCGATGCCAGGGACCATATCGTGCTTCTTCGAACTACTATCACTCTGTGTTAATACTTTGTCTCTTCAGTAGAGATTAAATAAGGTTCGGCTAAGTGAGCCTTAGTCCTTTACATGTCCAAAACACTTCAGACTCCATCCCTTCTATTCTTACCCTCAATCTTGTGTCTCCATAATATATAGTTCCTTGATTCTGTCCGTTAACTTCTTGTTAATTTTCCCATCTTGTGTCATCTTCCATACTTTTTCTCTTTCCACTCTTTCAAACGCTGCCTTTAAGTCAATGAAAAATGAAAATATCTTTCCGTCCTTGTCTCGAATTCCTTTTCCACCAATCTGCCTAGTACATATATACAGGGTGGCCAACTAAGAATGCGAGGTACTGTATCTGACAACCTATTCATCGTAGTAGAGACTTGCGGTAAAAAAGTTATTACTAAAACGGGCACGAGAAAAACCTGGAAAATATTTTTGAGTTTCTGAAATGGCCGCTAGGGGGCGTAACTGCAATCTGGAATCTAACAAGTGATGTTTCTGTGAATTCCGCTATATTAACCTAACAAAAAAATGCCCGATCTTTGAAGTCGACGATAATCTGAACCTTTTTTTTGACAATTATTGCTGTATCTCTAAAAATGAAGTGGTGGGGTATTCAAAGGTTTCCGTAAAGAACACCCTGTATCTTCGAAACGGCTTTAAACAAACTTGGGTTAGTTCAAAAGAGCTCTTCTTCAGCTACAAATATTATAATATTTGAAGTTTTGTTAGTTTCACATATTACCGATTGAGGGCTTTTTTCGACATTCCGACAGAAATGGTTAATTTTCTCAAAAAAATTAAATGCGTTGGTTTGATTTTTTTTCATGAAAAAGTAGCTAAATGATGCCTAAACAAGCTCGTGAAATCTCGATATCTTGAGATATATATATATCGTGATGGTCAGCATTTACGGCGGCATTAAAAGCTTCCTTTTTCAAATGGATCCATCTTAGGGTCACAAATTATATAATAAAAATAGTTACGGAAAAATTAGCTTAAAATAATAATAATAACAATAATAATAAATGTCTTTAATAAGTACCTATAGGTTACATTACATAGAAATGTGTACAAAGGGCGAGATTCAGTAATGGAATGAAACATATGTACATACCATTTCTGCTCTTCCATCTAACACATAAAAAATAAAATTTTGAGGGTATATAATTTTCTTTGGCCTAAATTTCAGGTTAGGAAGATATCGAGATGCGGTTTTCGCGAGCTTGTTTAGGCGTCATTTAGCTACTTTTTCATGAAAAAAAAAATCAAACCAACGCATTTAATTTTTTTGAGAAAATTAACCATTTCTGTCGGAATGTCGAAAAACGCCCTCAAGCGGCGATATGTGAAACTAACAAAACTGTAGCCGAGTTTGTTAAAATCGGCTCAGCACAGGGACAGGGTGTCCCTTACGGAAACTTTTAAATACCCCCCCCCCCCACTTCACTTTTAGAGATACAGCAATAATTTTCAAACAAAAAAGGTTCAGATCAGCGTCGACTTCAAAGACCGGGAATTTTTTTGTTAGGTTAATATAACGGAATTCACAGAAACATCACTTTTTTAGATTCTGGATTGCAGTTACGCCCCCTAGCGGCCATTTCAGAAACTTATAAATATCCTCCAGGTTTTTCCCGCACAATCTTTGTTCTCTCGAAGATCGGCACAATTGCCCATGGTTTCAATTCTTGGGGTAACCCACCCCCCCCTTTCCATGCCTTGTGTCCTACATTTTTCAACCTTGCCCCTATCTGTGTGGCGAAAATCCAAGCCTCATTACCTATCTCGTCTGTCTCTGTCGCTTTCCCTTCCTTCAGTCTTCAGGATAATTGCTAGTTGATCTCCTCTCTTGTTATTTCATCTCCTTCAACATTCTCTCTTCCTACCTCTGCCATACCCTCCTCTTTCTCCTGCTTTCCTTGAAGTAACTTAAAATGTTGTTTCCATTCCTCTAATTGTATTTCCCTCCCACTTGTTTTATTTTTAGCGCATTTTTTAAGAATTAAAAAAATGTGCTATTGATTACGTTTTATCCGTCCATCCATCCGCCCGGACCCCCTTCTGACGTGTTGAACTACATTTAGGAGAATAGTCCTAGAGAGGAATTTTTTGCAATCAGTAGCCTATACCTTGAAGGTGTACCAGACGGCCATCAAATTTTGCTGTCTAAAGGAGAGGCTCCCCCATGAATTATTTCCTGAGATGCTGTTTTGAAAGTAAAACAAGTGAATTGCTTTCTACAAACTATAACTTTTCTGCACGACTCCTTTTCGAGATCAGTGGGTGAAGGGTGTGGGTGGGGGAGTTGGTTTTATCTTTCATGGTATTCTAATTAAAGGCCCCAAGAAAAAGAACTGTTTCCTACCAACTACCGCCCTTCTTATCTTGTCCCTTATCAAAATAGGGGGTGGGAAGCGGAACTGCTTTTATCCTTCACGGTACTCTAATAAAAGGTCTCATCGAAAAGAATTAATTTCTACTAACCATAGTCCTGCTCTCGTTATCGTAATCGGATATAATTCCTTATATCTCAAGAGCGGATTG